CCCTTGTTCTGTTGTGGAAGCCTAACTTATAATCCTTTCTTACAATAGGAAGTGATTTACCAGAGGTCTCACAAGCTTTCTGTGTCCTCTTTTTTTTTTTAAAGAGGACAAAGTTGAAATTAGATAATGCTTGGGAGCATTCTGGGAACCCAGCATAATATATCTAAGCTATAGCCTACAAGTCAAGATGTTCTGGCTTCCAGTATAGTCTCTGACACTCCCTAGCTTTGTGATTCTGCCTGGGGAAGTAATTTAATTTCTCAGAGTGTCTAAGACTTATCGACCAAGTTCTAAATGAATTGAAGGAGTTCCCACACCAAATGAAAGCACAAACTATTGTTGTATAGGTGGAGGGCTCTGGGGAATCCTCACATCACAAAATTCTGAGCCTGGGAGCATCATTCAAAGGTCAACTCATCCATTTTCGTACTTTCATGCATCTGACCCTAGGCTGGAAGGAACAAGGTAAGAACAGCTCTTGGGCAATCGATTTTGGTTCTGAATAGTGGGGTAAAAGAAGGGGATAACTAAGAATCACCTGGAGACAAAGCTTTAGAAGAGTGGATTCCATGGTCCTCTTGACCTTTGTTCTTCAAGCCTAGAGAGAAGGAAGTCCTGGCTCCTTTCTGTCAAGGGAGAGAATGGTGAGGGGACAGGGATTTCGAGGGTAGAGATGATCTGAGACCCACTCCTCAGATTACACTATCTGTGCAGATGACTTTTCTGTCTATGCATGGGCTATGCCCACATGGAATTCTGTTTTGTTATGGCCAAACTTCTCTCTGTTGCATGGGAAAGGTCCAGGGATGACCTCATGAAATAATAGACCAGGTAGCCACCTACCTGCTATGGTTCCCTCACTCTTGGAAATACTTAGAAGGTACCCCTAAAGTAACTTCCTTATTTATTAGCCAATACCGGCAATTCCACCATTCCTTTTTTTCCCTTTAAGGCTTTGTCCTTTGATTTTAAAATACCCCTGGGATCACACTGTAAACAATGATTAGTACCTCAGTGTAAATGACTTTATGAGAGCAGATTTTGATAGGCAGGAGAGGATGGGGGCAGGGAGAGAGCAGCTGGTAATATGGTACTTGACATTCATAAAGCTCTTTAAAATTAAAATGCAAAGCACTTTACATATTTTCTCTTATTTGAGCCTCACCATAACCCTGATACTCCCAGGTGGCTTTGGGTCATGGGAGGCTGGTGTCATAGGAGCCTGGAAATACCAGAGACAAATTCTGCTAACTTGAAAATTCGACAGAGGGTAATGGGAGCTGGGAAGGAGAAGGTGAGTTGTGAACTGAGCTTTGGAGGATGGGAAGGATCTGAGCAGGGAGAGCATCCCAGGCCCGGAAAGCAAGACCTTTTAGGACTTCAATATTGAATTTATTTTTGGAAATTCAAGAAGGACCCACCTTATACTGAATTCCTCTCTACAGTGTGATGTGTCATGCAGGAAAGTCTCAGCCATCTCATGTGTTATTGTTATTAAGTAATTTTTTAGTCTTGTCCAGCTGTCCATGACCCCATTTAGGGTTTTCTTGGCAGGGGTACTGGAGTAGTTGGCCATTTCCTTCTCCAGCTCCTTTTACAGATGAGGAATGGAGACAGAGTTAAGTGACTTGCTCAGGGTCACACAGCTACTAACTGTCTGAGACCAGATTTGAACTCAGGAAGATGAGTCTTCCTGACTCCAGGCCCAGTACTCTATCCATTGTACCACCTTTAAGAGTCTATGACTTCTTCCGAAAGCCTGACCACAAGCTACTCCTCCAAACTACAGCCACAGAAAGAGCTCTAATTTAGGGCAGACTATTATTCTATTCTGTTTATTGGTATCCATGAGCCCTTACCCTAAAGGGTTGATGGAGCCCCTAATCCTGTCAGTCTGTCACTCAACTATCATTTAAGTGCCTATTATGTGGCATAGTCTGAACCCTCTTTCTTTCTTCCTTCCTTTCTCTTTTTCCTTTGGGTCTGTGTCTTCTTTTATAACATGACTAATATTATAATGTTTGGCATGATTGAACATGTGTAACCTGTAGCAAATTGCTTACTATCTCAGGTGAGGGAAAGAAAATTTGGAATTCAAACATTTTTAAAAATGAATGTTAAAATTGTCTTTATGTGTAAATAAGATATTAAATTAAAAAATAAGTACAAATTACCATAACCCTTTTCACTGAGTACTTTTTTCAAAGTTCTCTCTCATATATTATCTTATTAGATCCTCATGATAAACTTGGAAGAGAGCCAAGGTTGGCATTATGTTCATTTTACAGATGGGGAGACTGAGATTGAGAGGTCAAGAGAATTGTTAGAAAAATCTGAAACAAAAACCTATTACAGTGAGTGAGTGAAGGAAAAACCTTTATTACACTTCTCAAGAGAGAAATGGGCACAATGCACTTCAGTAGCACATGGGTGCTGGTTCAGTGGTAGAATTAACTTTTAAACCATTAGTAAGATTCATACTCCACCCATAAGGGCTATGATTGGTCTGGTTCATCTGAGTTACACCCTTCCTGGACAGTCCATCCCATGTGTGTCCATGTTCTGTTAACTGTCCACTTCATGGGTCCCATATTCAAAAATGGCAGCTATTTCCGCCCTTGGGGTGTGTCATTTAATATTGAATGAGCTTAGTAAGCAAGCACAATGGAGAAAAGTCCTGTTGAGGTCCTGTCCTTGAACAGTTGCAACTGTTTTAGCCTACAGGGCTCTTTCTTAAGGAACTAGTTGTTTGCTATACTTTCTGATTTGTTGAAGGACTATCCACAAGATCTTGGAATTTCTTATCCTGCTGTGGAAGCCTAACCCCCTAAAATCTTTAGTACAAGACTTATCCAGTATCCCATTGCCATTGAGGAGTAGAGCCGGGACTACAACCCAGGTCTCCTTACTGGAGACCAATCTTGGTTGGTGTTCTTTCCAATCCACATGTTGCTTCACTCACTCTCACTTTTCATTCTGTCTCTGTCTCTTTCTCTCTCTCTCTCTCTCTCTCTCTCTCTCTCTCTCTCTCTCACACACACACACACAGAGTAGGTGCTGATCTATGTTAGAGGGAATGTTTCGGTCTTGGGGTCTTGGGAATCCTGAAATGCAAGGGCAAAGGATGTTAGTCTGCCTAGAAAGAATTCAACCACTCAAACCTTCTTTCAGTCCAAGTAGTTTATTAACACACCAGTTGGGATGGGTGAGATTCCTAGTGAATCTGCTCATTTTTTAGGTTCAAGAATGACTTTTTTAATAGGGAAAAAGACTGTGGGAAGATTTGGATGGGACCAAGGAGTGGCAAATACTCTGGGGTGGTCCAGAGGTAACAGACAATGAAAGGATGGGCTGGGTTGGGTTCACAATGAAAGGACAGGTGAAAGGATTATTGAGTATGTAGGTGGAGATGTGTGGGAAAGTTCAGGAGCTTGTGTTTCTGGGGTCCAGGTCCCATAACCCCATCAGGAATTCCCTCACTTGGAGTCCCCAATTCCAAAGAAATCATAGGTCTTGTCTCTATACTCCCATTCTGCCCACCCTCCTCTCTCCAAAAAAAGAACAAAAAACAAAAAACAATTAGTGAAATCATTTCCTGTAACTTCTAGGGCATGAGACTCAATTAAAGGTAAGTAGTGTTGGGGAGGGGAAGTGCAGGAAGGATAATGGCTGAGGATGAGCCAAAAAATGTGAGTGTGTGTGTGTGAAGTGGATGCTCTTTGAGAATAATCAGACTTTCCCACTCTCCCCAGAAAAAGTTGGTACTTTGCAGCCCCCCCACCCCCAATGGAATCTTAGCAGAGCTCAACTTGTAGTATATTTCATTGTTCAATGCTGCAACTGGCCACAGAGAATCTTAGGTTTAGAAGAATTATTTGGTCCCTAATTCGGTCTTTTGCCTAGTGCAGGGGCACCCTTTATGGCATCCCTGGCAGATAGTCCTCTAGCCACTGCAGTCATACTTTCAGTGTGGATGTGATAGGATTGGGATCTGGGCCCCAGAAAGGAAAAACCCTGGACTTTCCCACATGGCCAAATCTCTGGTGTTCCCCTGAGGCTATAATCCCATCAACTGGCCTTTCACTATGGCTACACCCAATCTCCCCTCCGTTATCTTCCCTGGAATTTTATTACCTCATAGACTACTTGGTCACTCATAGATCCCTCCCAGTCTTTCTGTATATAAGGTCCATCTTGTCTCCATTAAGATACTGGGATTCTTATAATCTAGCCACTGCTCAGATTCTTATAATCTAGCCAACAGCTTACTAATGTTCAGACTCCTTAAGAGTCTGCCCAATATGATGGATGTTCTAATCCTTGTCTTTGGCCGAATTCTTTCGGGTAGGACCCTTATGTTGTGATTAAGGGGTCCCAGGACCCCTGAACCACTAAACCAAATCAGATGGGGTTCTCTCTCCCTCTAGAAACTCCTTTTCCTACTGTTGGACAACTCTCCACAGGAGTTCTTCCTTTAAGACAAATAAGAGGGAAAGAGCTATTTACAAGGTGTATCGCCATCTTGAGTAGCCTGGGAATGTCAGATTCTGCTCTTTATTTTTGGCAAAAGGTGGAATGTTATTTGTCCCCAAACCAGGAATTTCTTCTCTGACTTCACCAATGTGACCTCAGACACTTAATAGTTTTGGGCATCAACATCTTTATCTGTCAAATTGGAGTGATGACATCTGCCCTACCTACCTGTCAAGGAATGTTGCATAAAATGTTGTAGAAATATAAGGCATAATTGGCTTTACAGTCAGATCCAAGTCTTTTCATTGGAATACAATTCTTGGAGGCTTCCATTCTGTGTGCCTGGGGCAAAATGTCAGAATACGTCCATGCCGACCTGCAAGAAGAGGCACCTGACCTCTCATTCTCCTGTCTAGTACAACCAGACTCTTAATCTCATTGCCCAGATACCCACACCATGCTTTATTCTAGGCCTGACTTGTCTGCAAGGGGCTCATCATTTGGTCAATGGACACAGAGGCTTGTCGTGCAGTGCAAGAGATCATCCAAATTTATTCTACCCACAATGCAGTCAGTCTTCCATTGGCTTGAGAAGCATATAGTTATACCTTCCACATTGAGACTTTCCCCATTGTGGTTTTGATATATCTCAGGTCATCAGAAGAAATTAAATGGAAATTTTTGTGTTTTGTGGAGTTTTGTGGAAATCACAGAAGACATGCAAAGGCCAGCAGATAACACAGAGTCTATGACCAAATACTTAACCCAAATTTTATAATAAGATACTGTAAACACCCCATAAAAGAAAAAGAAAAAATCCAGACTTCTTCTCTGGTATGAAGAGAAGGCAAAAAACTTTTACATGGATTATCCAGATTGCAGGGGTGCCATGACCCTAACCCCAGAGTTATGGAAAGAATGCCTGCTGGTTATTCAAGATACCAAGAATCCCTGCTCTTACTTTACTAGTGTATGGAGAGACGAATGGAGAGGCAGATATGAATTAGGCTATTTCTTTATTATTGAATTGGGAAGTTGGGGGTGGGTGGGTGGGTGAGGGCATGCACCCAGTGGTAGACCCTCCCCACCGCCCAGGTGGCAGTTTCAAAAGGCACCTTATGTTACCACCTCCAGCCCCTGAGGGGTGGGGAGGGGCTGTAGCTGAGTACCCAAGTGATCATCAAGCATTTCACTTGAAATTATCCAACACATGAAGGAGGGGACAGAGCTTGGCTTCCAGTAATGCAGTCAGCCAAACTCCTTCCACCACCCAATCTCCAACACAAATCCTGCCGACATTTATTTATTCTTCTTTGACTTCAGAGCTTTCTGCCGGTAGATCTCCTCAGTGAAAGGCCTGTATGAGGTTTTTTTTTTTTTAATGGGGAGGAGAGGAGAGGAATAGAGTAGGGGGAAAGGAAGAGATGGGGAAAAGTGGGCAGAGATGAGAAAAAACCATTAATTAGCCAATTGTTTTTCAAGTCAGATCTTCTCTCTCTTTCCAGCACCAAAATTTGGGGAGCAACTGTTCTCAGATTATCCAGATACTAGTAGTATAGTAGGCAACAAAGCCTACAGATGGCTCTTAGCCAGACCTTTCCATTCTCAACCCCTGTCCAAGAGCACCCTTCTCAGACCCCTTTCCATCCTCAGCCCCTGCCCAAGAGTTGCAGACTAAGCTTCCTCATAGAATGGATGAGCTCACAGGCCAAAGGCTTGCTTGCCCTAGGATCCAAAAGTTCTACTTTGTATTTGTCCACTTGTTCTCAGTTGTCCCCTATTTAGTGGTAGGGGTCTGATGCGGTGTTTAGGCTGAAGATATCCCAGTTTCTTGGGAGTCCTATCTGCCTTTTCCAGTCCCTTTGATGAGATACAAAATATTGTGATCATTATGGTTCCCCTTTACCAGGCAATCTTTTTCAGAATGATTCCTCACAGCCTAAGGGATTATGCCCAGATTCTTCAGAATGACCCTCCATGATTTGGCTCCCAAACCTACCTTTCCAACCACATTTCACATTATTCACCTCTACTGCAGACACAGTGGAATCACCATTCCCTTGATATTCTCTGTGCATCCTGACTTTGCCCAGGCTGTTCCTTTTCCCTGGAATATCCTCACTCCGCATCTCCATTTACTGAAATCCTAAACATCCTTTCAAGGTCCAACCCAGATCCCATGCCCTGTCGGAAGGCTTCCCTGGGTAAGCCAGTGCATAGGAGAAGGAGCTATGGTATAATGGAGGATCAGCTGGATTTGGGGTGCTGGCTCTGCTACTTATCTGTCTTAGAAAAGTCACTTCCCCAGTTTTCTTATCTGTGAAATGAGGAGGTGGACAAGATGAACTAAGAACTAAAGTTTTGAGCAAGTCACTTAAGCCCAATTGCCTCACCAAAAAAAATAAAATTAAAAAGGGGACAGCTAGGTGGTGCAGTGGATAGAACACCAGCCCTGGAGTCAGGAGGACCTGAGTTCAAAACTGGCCTTAGGCACAAACACCATAACACATACTAGCTGTGTGACTCTGGGCAAATCACTTGACCCCAACTGCCTCACCAAATAAAATAAGGTTCTTTCCAGACCTTTAAGTACTTACTGTATATGCGTTACTAACTGTGACACTCACCACATTGTAGAAACTATATTAGTTACTGGTATGTGTGTCTTAGTTCCTCTATAAAAAGCTAAGTCCTTTAGGACAGGGACAGTTTCATAGATGCAAGGTCTGTACTTAGGCATGAATAATATTTTCATTATGTTTTATTATTTGCTTTTATGACATAGTCATTTCATGCTCGTCTCCATTTTGAATCTCTCTTTGTGACAAAGAAAGACAATTAAGTAAAAATATCTGATTGTTGTTCTTCCTTCATTTTTGCAGAGGACCAGTGACCTCAGGAGTGATGTCTTGACTTGTGCGTGAATTGGATTTAAGTGGGGCAGAGTTATGCAAAGTTGTTGGCCTCACTTTGTCTTCCAGAGTCCTTGAAGTTCAGTGCAGGACAAAATCAGGACAACTGACGATGGTCCGAGATCTAGTGGATTACCCTGGCATCTTCCGTGTCTGACGAAGCTCTAAATGTTCCAGAGAGCCTGCTTCAAATGCTTTCATGGCCACTGGAACAAATTGTACTCATCCATCCATTCTGTTGGGGGAAGTCTTCACATGCTTGGATAGACACCTCCCTGATTTAACAACGGGTTTGAGGCCTGTAGGTTACTCTCAACCTGCTGAGATGGTTTTATGAGCTGTGGTCACTGTGTATGCTACAGCTTCTTGGAGTCACATATCTGATAGCATGACAACAACAGTACACAGTATTCAGTCCCAGTAGTCCCCCACCTCTCTGTAGTAAGGGAGAAAGTCTATTTCATTGTCTGTTCCTTGAGATCTTTGTTGGGTTTTCAATTATACATAATTTGACTTCTTTTTAGTGACCTTTTTTATTGACAACGTTATAGTCATTGTGCATATCGTTCTCTTGGTTTGGCTTATCTCAGTCTGCATCAGTTCATACAAAATCTTCTCATACTTCCCTGGGTTCCTTGCTTGTTGTCATTTCTTATTGTGCAATGGAATATTGATTCCATTATATTTATATACCATTTTTCTTCAGCTATTCTGTGATTATGGGGGATCTATGTTGTTTCTAGTTGTAGTTCCTTTGATAAAAAAAAGAATGCTGCTATGAATACTTTGGTCTATTTTTTGTTTCTGTCTTGGACTCGTTGGGGTATCTGCCCAGGAGGAGGTCCAGCTGGGCCAGAGTATATTGCCACTTTTCTTTCAGAATTCCAAATTCAAGTCCAGAATAATTAATTGCCCATGTCATAGTTCGATCTGTAGTGGAACTATATCTATAGATTTTCTTCATATCCTCTTGTGTCTTCAACAGTGACCACTGTCATCTTTGTCAATTTGTCTGTCAACTGCAGAGTTGTTTTAATCTGCATTTCTATTACTATTAGTGATGTGGAACATGTTTTCATGTTGTTGTTTATAATTTGTAATTTTTTTGAAAACTGCTCATGGAATGACTCCATGTATATTTTCTAACCAGATTTTCTGATATCTGATGCAGATTTCCCATCCAAGAACGAACCAGGCTTAGTTTCCAATCAGCTGAGGTGTGGTGTGTACAGACTGGCATGGCCATAGACCTTTCTCTTTTATATTTAGCTAAGATTGCCACTTTGAGCTTATTGTATCATATGGTATACAGCACTGATGCCCAACTCAAATGGAAATGGGGGCTAAAAAGTCATATATAAGGACCCCTGTGGGCTGCATGTTGAGTTAGAAAACCACATATTAATAATACCTATGTTTTGTTCTATTCTATATATTTTGTTAAGTATTTCCCATTACATTTTAATTTGGCTCCATTACACTTGGGAGTGTGGCTTTGATAGGGCTGCAGGCTGTATGTTTTTAACACCTATCTGGAAGGTGTTCATGTAAAGCTATTTTCTGCCAAATTACTTTCTGGTGTTCTTAGTAGTTCTCGGTTAAAAAAAGGAAAGAAAAAAAAGAGAGGGGGGGGAGAGAGAGAGGGAGAGAGAGGGAGGGAAAGAGAAAGAGAGAAAGAGAGAGAGAGAGAGAGAGAGAGAGAGAGAGAGAGAGAGGGAGGGAGAGGGAGAGGGAGAGGGGGAGAGAGAGAGAGAGAGAGTGTCTTTCCCCCAATAATTTATGTTCTTGGGTTTATCAAACATTGGACTACTCTTTCCCATTGCTTTGATTCTTGTTTAATTAAGTAATCTAGTTCACTGATCTCCTTTTGATTGTTTTTTTTTTAACCAGAACCAAATAGTTTTGATGATTATTGTTTTATAATTTAGTTTTGAATCTAGTAATACTATGCCCCCTTCATTCATACTTTTTTTCTTCTAGTTTAATTATCTCCCCTGAAATTCTGGGCCTTTTGTTCTTCTCAACAGATTATTATTTTACCTTTTCATCCATCCTGAAGTTTCCTTTAGCACCTCCTGCCTCCACCCTCTCAGCTATATACACAGACTGGTTTGCATGTTGTCTCCCCATTGGACTATTAGCTCCTTGAGGACAAGAGACTGTTTTTGCCTTTCTTTGTATCCCCAGTGCTTAGCACAGTGGCTGGGACATAGAAGGTATGAAATAAATGTTTGATTTAACTTGTCTAGTTCTTTAAAAAAAAAAACAAAACATTTCCACAGTAATCTGAATGGCTAAAATTTCAAACTAAAGTAGTACTTTACACTGTTTGTAAATTAAAGTAGTACTGTCATATTTATTATTGGCATGGCCCAACTGTAAGTGGTGAATATCTCTCCAATTATTTAAATCTCTATGTCTGTCAAGAGTGCTTTGTAGTGGTATTTATATAATTTTTTCTGTGTCTCTAAGTTGCAGTTATTTTGAATGGAATTTCTTGTTTAAATTTCATTTCTTTCTTTAAAAAAAACCAACAAGAGAGAAATGCTGCTGATTTTTCTTGTGGATTTATTTTGTCTTTGCTACCTTGCTGTAGTTATTAATCATCCCAATTTAAGGGGTTTTGGGGGCTGATTCAGTTTTTTTTTTTTAAAGATATACCATCATGCCTTTGAAAATAGAGATAGTCTTGTATTCTCTTTGGGTATTTATACCTTTAATTCTGCCATTTTGTCTTATTGCTATAAGTAACATTTCTCTAATTCTGTAAAATAATGGGGAAAGGGTGCTGTGTTTTTCCTGTTTATTATTATCTTAGTTTTCTAGAGGTTCTCATATAGTCTTCTAATCTTCTTTAAAAAAATTTGTTGCACTATTTTTCCTTCTGCCTCTGCATTTTTGCATTCCAATTCTGCCAGATACTCTACAGATAATTTACTGTTGGATTAGACTTGCTAATTTTTTCCTTAAGGGCTTGGATTCCTTATTTCTCTGCTCTTTTTGCTTAATTCTGATTGCTCTTTCCAGCCATACTTGAGTTGTGCCATTGCTGTTCTTGGGGCCTTGCAGAGTTTGTGCTGATTTCGTCACCTTCATTTGCAGATTAGACTTTTTGTCCTGAAAAGCTTTCCCCACTCCTCAGCCAGCTTTTGGCATTCTTCATCACTGTCTACTTGGCTACCTTATCCTGGTTGAAAAGTTGCTTGTTGCCAATCCCTTTCTATCCAAAAGTCTAGCACTGACCCTAGCTCTGTTGTCTCAGACTACCAGAGTTGGATGAGGTTTGTTTTCCTCAGAGGATGAAGGTGACCAGGTGGGACATTGCTGTAGGGAGATCCCCAACTGTACAATGCAGGAAGGCCTATTCTAAGCCTTTACTATGCCATGATTTTCTCTGCAGTTGACTTTCTGGGCTACTTGTAAAAGTATCAGAGGAGGGTCTCCAAGGACACTATGTAGAAGATACTACATACTCCCTCCCTCATCTGGCCCCATTTCCTCCTGTGCTGTATTAATTAATTCTAATCAGTGCCACATTCCTGGTGTCTTCTTTTAGCACTTTCTTATCCTGTAGCCTCCTCAGCCATGCCCCTTTTCCTTCTCCATGAGCCATGGAGCTGTTCTGATTCATGGGCTTTAATTCATCCTGGCAGAAGGAAACACTCTATCAAAGGGTTAATTCCCAAGATCTGGTGGTTAAAATTGTTTAGTGATTTGGGTCATACGGCTGCCCCAGGCCAGCCCACTGATAGTAATGGGGGAATGATGAGAAGTCCGTGAGCAAGGGAACCTCTACCCATTCTGGATATGGGGACCCCTACTGGATTGCCATAAGTAATGGAGAGATTCTGCCCAAAACTGTCATAGCCACAAGGGTTGACCCCAGGTCCAATGCTGGGAGTGGGTAGGAAAGGGAGTTGGGAACAGTGACGAAAGCTGTAAGAGTGGATGGGCTGATGAGCTGGTCTTCAGTTATTTTTTCTGTAAGAATTACTTTGTGGTGGGTCTTTTCATTTATCCTTTTTCTTGTCACTTCTGCATCTTGGGCCTTATACTATTTGGTGTGGTGAGACGGAACATCTTTCCAGGATTCTATCCATCAACATTTTTGACCCAGTTTCTAATAAAATTTTTGCAAAGAGACCACCTTTTTTGATAATGACTCTGGGATAAGGGTATCCTCCTCTCATGAGGTTCCAAGCTCTTGAGGTGTCATTGGGCCTGGTCAGTATAATCCATTTCCCTTTGCCTACTTCTCTGCTGGGACAGGGTCAGGGACTATGGGAAATAGGAAGACAGTTTAAGTACTAGTAAGAACTCCTTTCAGAACTGGATTCAGAGTCTATTCAGTGAATCTGTGATTACTGGACTTGTAAACAGCCTGTATCCTCATAGTTCCTATTGACTGAAGTAAAGTAGGTTCTTTGCACACCAGGAGATTGGATTGAGTGGTTTGCTGGTATAATGATGGGAGAAAGAAATGTGGGTTAAGGGAGTAGGGAGAGGCAGGGGATGAATCAAGGAGAGCTCTGTGCCTGAGATGACCCCTAATTAACAAAGCCCCCACCCAAAGGCAAGAGAGAAGCCACACGTATGGTCAGCTGTGTCCTACCCCAGGCAGATACTAAATCCACCTCATTTCTACCTTCCTCTTCACTGGTAACAGATCCAGTTACCGGTGACATACATAGCGGTTAATGAATCTAGTGAGAGCACCCAAAAGGTCAGACTAGTTTCCTGGGCCATGAGTAAATAAATACCCCACTGTCCTCATGAGAGGAAGAATCAATCATTCCTCTCTGAGTCAGGAGACTAGAAGTAGGCCAGCTGTCTCGTCTCATTCTTGCTCCCCTCCTCCTCAGTCATCATCTCAGACCGTGTGGCCGAAGGTTTCCATGCTGAAGAAGATGCCATGGGCAGCTAGGTGGCGCAGAGGATAACCCTGGATTCAAATCTGACCTCAGACCCATAATACTAGCTGTGTGACCCTGGGCAAGTCACTTAACCCCACTGCCTAGCCAAAAAAAACAAAAAACAAAAACAAAAAATAAAGAAGATGCCATGCTTCAAAGCTACTTACTCTTCATACATAATGGCGACCGTGTAGGTGAGAGCCACAATGACCGTCAGCAGGAGGCCTGTAGGGCTGGCATTTCTGGAAAAGAGAGAAGAAGAGGGAGAGGAGGAGAGAGGATGCTTGAGTGAGTACCTGCACAAAGTTCTAGCCCTGGCTCTGACTCTAACTAGTTGTATTACTTTGAATGGGTCACACTGCTCTGGGTCTCAGTTTTCTCACTTATAAAATGAGGGAATTAGATTGGATGCTCTCTAAGACCATTTAAGGTTCCTTGTTATTCTGAAGGTCCATGAATTCTATATATGTTATTTTTAAAGCATGTGAGCATGCTTAAATCCTCGCCTCCTTTCAGGAAGCAAATGACAGTTATCCCTTCCACATTGCTGGAGGGTAGGGGGAGGTTGTCAGAAGAGAGCTCCCCCTCCCCCC